ATCCTGGCCCTCAGGAGCCCCGCTGGCGGAGCTTCCTGGGATTTCATCTTATGCTCACATGATTATTAAGTAGTCACTCAAACAGCGTCTGCTGAGCACAGGTCCCATGTGGGAGACTCTGCGAACGCAGTTGCTAGCAGTGCTACCACACAGGGTGCGTGGTGCCCACCGCAAGACACAGGAGGACAGATGACCTACTCAGGAAAGGCCTCCCAAGGAAGGGCTGTTTGTGCTGAAAGCTGGAAAAAGACGCTGCTATTACAAGGATCTGGACGAGGCAGCTCGTATCTCTCGGGGGTGTTTATCTGCATTTGTGAGATGCCTCGAAACCCAGAGGAAGGTATCAAAACGATACCAATGAATATAAATAGCCTTTTATGGTTTATAAAGCATTCTTCAGACATTATCCCCGATTTGACAGTAGCATCTGAGAGACAGGAGAAGAAGTGCCAGGCTCTCTGTTGTATAAATGAGGAAACGGAGATGAACAGCAGGTAGACGCCTCGCCAAGGTCACACAGCAAGCCAAGGAGAAGACGCCAGCCCACGTGCATCGCTGCTTGCAGAGAGCTCTTCTCACTGTTCGCTGCGGCCTCCCAAGGAAGCCAAGGAGGGCAACGACTGGGAGCAAAGGACACGCACTGGTCAGACACCGTGTTAGGCACTAGATGCTCAAAGACAGCTCTGATGTCATGTTAGCCCTTCCCCCAGGAGCAGCGAGTCTTCCCAGAGCTGTGACAGCCTCCTCCCCGGCTGCAGCATCTCCTGATCATAGACTCTAGCTCTCAGTTCCCATACCAGGCCTTCCCGCCTCCCCCACATTGGGTTTGATCTCCCAGCCACACACTTTCTTAGCTTCTTGCTCTTTGCTTAACAATACACAGAGCTATCCAAGGCCTGGCCTGTCCATGTGTGAGCACCAGCCATGGGATATTAGCACGGCACTCAGGGAGAGCCCAGAGGTATCTGAGGGATGTTCTCAGGCATTGTGGTGTACGCCTATACTCCTAGCAGTCTGAGTGGCTGCAGCAGGAGGATCTCAAGTCTAAGCTTAGTCCAGGCAACTTAATGACTTAAAGTCTAGGGAGGTCGCTCAGTTCAAAGGCTGTGGGTTTGATGCCCAAAACTGCAGAATAAACAAACAAAAAGATGTCTGAGGTACAGATGAATGAACAAGCATATATAGAATGAGGGAGGGCAGGGCCAGAAGCAGTTGTACTTGGGGCATTGTTAGAAAAGCAGACAATTAAAGGGCTTGATTCCAGAGGAGCTTTTCCAGATGCCCGGAAAATTTTATCCACTAAGATGTTAAGGGAAAAACCTTGAAATCCTTCTACACTGTTTGGAAGAAGACAAAATGGTATCCATTATGAAAAATTGTCTGGAGGTGCCTCAAAACACAAACTACTGCCAGATACAGGAGCGCACACTTGCAGTGCCGGCAACTAGGGAGATTGAGGCAGGAGAATCGAAATATGAGATTAGCCTGGGCAACATAGCAGAGTCACAGTTTAAAAAAAAAGATCCAGCAATCCTATTTCTGGACATATATCCAAACAAAAATTCAAAGCAGGGGCTCAAAAACATACTTGCACATGCATGTTCATAACAGCACAATTCATAACAGTGTATCTATACAATGGAATACTATGCTGCTCTCAAAAGGAATGAAATACTGTTACATGCCCCTGGATGAACATTGAGGCCTCTGTGACAAGTGAATTAAGCCAATCACAAGATGTCAAATACAGCATAGTTCTCTCATATGAGATATATAAAGTAGTCAAAATCATAGAAATAGAAAGTTTTTTTCTCCCCAAGGGCCAAGGGAGAAAGACATATATTTAAATAGGAACAGAGTTTCAGTTCTGCAACCTAAGAAGTCCTAGAGATCTGTAAGAATGAGAATATACTTAACATGATTGAAATGTACACTTTCAAAAAGTTAAATTTAATGCTATGTCTTTTTAATAATCATAAAAAATCCTAGAAGCATAGTTAAAAAAGAAACAGATGCCCAAGACAGATATCATAAATTCAGAAACAATATCAGGAAGGTGAAAGACCAGATGAAGCATACGGAGAGGGCTGAGGAAATGGGCCGGTCAGTCATAAAGGCCACATTTGCGGCTGGTGGTCCACAGCGGGGTGCAGGGCCGGGTGTGGAACAGGAATGCATGCATCTGCCAGAGCTTCTGCTCTAGGGAGGACTGTGGGCCCCTCAGGCAGAGCCCTCCTCTCTCTGTTTCCCCCTGGGAAACAGCGGTGGTCCTCACTGCCACCCCGAAGCATGGCACCCCAGAGAGGATCAGGGAGCTCAGCAGGTTCAGAGCCCAGCAAGACACACACATGTCATGTGCAAGACTCAGTCCTTGTCACAGCTGTTGCTGTGGGTCGGTAGGGGGGCGACTCGGGCCCCACCTGGAGGCCTGCGGCTTCTATGCCCGTAAGAGCACTCAGCAACCAAAACCCAAAAGGCTCTGCCCACTGTTAGCCTAGCACTGTTCAACATAAAAGGACACCATCAGGAATAGACCTTTACACAGAAATCCCATGCCCTAGTTCTTGACAGCTGTAATTACAGCCCAAACAGCTTTTGAAAGGGAAATTAAAAAAAAAAAAAAGAAAGAAAGAAAGAATGGAAAATAGCAGCTTGGACTTAGCAGTGAATTGTGGGGCTTGAGGGTAACACACACAATCAGAGCACTTGCTCTTAATGGTGGCCAGCCTAAACAAGCAACTGGACAGCCAGACCAAACAGCTTTCTGGCCAATTAATTTCTCCTTCTAATTTAATGAGCTGCTCATTAAGTGCTGGAAGCAGCTCCCACGAAGGGGGCTGCAGGGACAGGCACAAGGGCCACAGCCTGGCAGGCGATGAGGGAAGATGAGACAGAGCCACACTCTAGCCCCAGCTTCTCCAGATCTGGAGACCAAGCGGCTACCCTGCCCCCAATCTTCCCTGCCTCCGGTGATGTCCTCCAGAGCCTCGGATTGCTCTACAAAGTTGTGTCCCTGCCACTGGCTCCTGCACCAGAGAGATGCCATGTCCTAGCTCCTTGCTTCTCAACTGGGGTCCTGACTCATATCAGCATTACAAGGCCTGACTCGTATCAGCCTCTGGAGGGGGCAGGTGGCTCAGCCCTGGAGGTGAATCCCAAGCCCACCCATTAACAACCACCTGACCTAGAACGGTTTGACCTGCACAAGGTTCTAGGTCCTTATCTATAAAACCTAACAACATCCTCATCTCACAATAGTAACATCATTTCAATATCAAAACACTTCACAAAACACCTGCTGGGTAAGTAATTACTACTATTGGTAGCTCCTATTTGTAGAGATGTTACTTTCACAATGATAGTGACAGCAGCAACAACATACTCCTGTCCTTCGCTCACACATGCATAAAGGAGGGGCTTTCTTCCGTTGCCAACCAAGTGATAGGCCAGCTCCGAATCCAGTCCTTCCTATCACAGCAGCAGCGATGAGGGCGGCAGCCCATCCTAACAATGGAAACACCCCCGACAGTCCCTGGCAAGGCCTCTGTACCTGCTTTCTGTCCAAGTAAGAAGGAAGAGGAAGAGGAGAAGACGCTTGGAAATTCTGAGCTTCAAACCTGCAGCCAAAAGGGTGGTAAAATCTGCGTGTTTCCACAAGACCAACTGGAGAAACGCACTCAGGCCATGTGCCCGCACCTTTCCTGGACCGCGGTGTCTCCCTACTATCCCTTTCTGAGCTTCAGCTTAACCCTGAAAATGAAGCTACCAAGATCCCCAACTACAACTTGCTGTGAACATGAAAGGAAATTACTCCCGCGAAAGGGCTTTAAAACTACTTGTTACTTAACTCTGTGATAAATAGTATTGCCACACCGAACAGTAGTTTCAATAAATTCAACTTAATAATGAAAAAACAAAGCCACAGAAGCCTAGAAGGATCAAGTTCCTGAAAAGATTATTTTATTAGGTTGACGAAGCGTTCAGAAAAACATCAGTAGACATGCGTGCTTTCTTCCCAACGCTGCTGTCATTGAATTGAGGTTTCTGCTGATCAGATGACAAACCGGCTGAAAGTAAAACCAGCAAAGCAAAATGAAACAGCCAGCATCAGTTCCACATTGCCCATGTCCACAAGAGCATTCTAAAGGACAAGGAACCCTACAGCGACATCTGGAGATGACTGATCTAGCCACCTCTAACACCAGTTCTCTCTAACAAATAATTACAAGCCACTTGACCAATCCCAAGTCTACCTCTAAAATGCACAGGCCTAAGGTAATTTTTCCCGTTCTAGTGCACAGAACATGGACAAATTCTTTCACATTGGTTAGAAGACAATTTGCTTCTTGTCCGACCTCAGCTCCATGTACCAGGGTCAGAAGACACAGATTGGAACATGCCAAATCTTCTAGAGCGCAAGAAACAGCAGGAGAGAACACGTACATATGCCCGAGGTCTAAAGCAGCCAATCCAGGAAGTTTTGTTGAAATCTCACATTTAGTCTTTAAAAATCCAAATAAGTTTTGTAATTCTATACCATAATAAACTGCCTTTTAAAAATATGCTCTGAGACAATTACCAACTAATCACTAAAGGTTTTCTGTAACATCTTTTTTTTTTTGGTACCGGGAATCGAACTCAGGACCTTGCGCTTGCCAGGCAGGTGCTTGTGCCACTGAGCTATATCCCCGGCCCTCCCTAACATCTTTAAATCAAAAGAATTTTTTGCCATTCTCCACTACTACCTGGCCTCAGTAAGTGGTGCTGCAGACTACAAGAGAGCGACGGTGGTACCCCGCGAAAATCACGTCCACTTTAATCTTGGCTCTTTATCGAGCTCCACTACCCGATGCAGAACAGCATCCAGAACAAGAGGGAGGAGAGGTTCTGGGCTTGCAAAGAATGTAGCCGCCCTTTTTGACAACCCCAGCACCATCTGAAAAGGCCAGCAGCTAAGATGCTTGAATTCCAGGGCACACATCCCCACTCTGACCACTCACCCGTATCCTGCGCATGGCAGCCACGATTTCCACCCTGCTGTTAGGTCTCGGCACATCCAGGCTTCCTACGTACTGTGAGAAAGAAAGAAACACACGTTGAGAAGAGAGAGAGCAGGGCTGGGGATTTAGCTCAGTGGCAAAGCGCTTGCCTGGCAAGCGCAAGGTCGTGAGTTCGATTCCTGGTACCGGAAAAAAAAAAAAAAAAAAAAAAAAAAAAAAAGAAGAGAGAGAGCAAGAATACCTAATCACAGACTGTTAATGCATTTGTTTATTTGTTTGTTTGAGACACTGTCTCACTATATAGCCCAAGCTGGCCTTGAACTTGCAGCAATTCTCCTGTCTCAGCCTCATACAGGCATGTACCACATGCCCAGCTTTTTAGTGCTTTAGACCTTTAGAGGTCACCAAGTTCATCTACCCATTTTATGGATGAGGAAATTAAAAGCCAAAGGGTGTTTGAGATTGTTTATAACATGATAAAAAGCAACTTAACCAGAAATTACTGTTTCCTTTTTTATCTTGCTTTTAATCAGAGAGGCAACAGAGCACTGTGTTTAACCAAGCATGCTTCTGAATCAGAAAGACTCCCATAATTATACTCATGGCAAAGGCACTTTGCCTTTCTTGGTCTCAATTTCCTCAACTGTAAGATCAAATGAATTAAAATCTTATACAGAAGTACTTGGCAAACATTAATGCACTTTTAAAAAGAAAGGATTACATATCTGTTTTGATTAATTTAGGGCTAACTGTTAGCCCTAAATATATTTGAGTCCTCATATATTTGAATAAGTCCCTGACTGAGGGAATAGAATGGACTAGATTTTTTTTAAATTAACAATTCAACTTGATTATACTTTTAAATTATTTTCAAAAGCAAATTACATGCAGGTTAATGTTTAATATGTAAGTGCTTTCCTGTTGTAAACTACGCAAATAATGCAGAAATATGCAGAGCAAAAGGATGAAGTCCTCACTCTCAGTAGCTCATGCACAGCTCTCTTGCCTGATGGACATTTCTTCACTGACACAGCAGGGATTTGTTCTGTGTTAAAAGACAAAAAGGTTCACATTATATTGTTCTGCAACTTAGTTTTTTGTGCTTGTTTTGCTTCTGTTTTGGGTTGTAGCTTTTCTTTTTTTTTCTTTTTTGATCTTTTTGAGACAGACTCACACATTCAGGCTGGCCTTGAGCTCACTTTGTAGCCCAGGCTGGCTTCGACCTCACAAAGACCCTCCTGCCTCGGCCTCCCAAGTGCTACGACTACAGGCGTGCACCACCATGCCAGAGTTTTGTTTTGTTTATTTTTGTTTTTTGTCTTTTTGAGGTTTTAGTTTTTCTGAGACAGGGTCTCACTATGTAGTTCAGCCTATCCTTGAGCTTATAACACAGCCCAGGCTGCCTTCCAGGCCTGTACTACACACCCAGCTGAGTTTTTGACTTTACAACTTCGGTATCTTTCTGGGCCAATGTAGACAGGTCTACCACACTGCCTATAATGGTTTCCTTACTTAGTGTCACTGAACACTCTGTCACTATGTTTCTATGGACTGCCTCATTTATGTATCTTTGAGTTCATCCAAGCCGCTCCTTATGTTGGATTCCTAGAAGTGAGATCGCTGAATCAAAAGAATAGACAATTTCTAGATATCACTCCTTATGAGGATAAAAGACAAAAAGAGGACCCAGCATTCATCAAGGGTGTATGGTGTTGGCTGCTTCCTATACACATCCTGTTACATACTGACCCACTGGGCTTTGCTTTCCCTGTCTACCTGTGAACTACATAAAGCAGCCCAAGAGACAGCATGAAATTAACAGCCCCAGAATAACTTAAAGTCTACCCAAGCAAGGATTGCATTAGTAGGAAAGATAAGAAGAGGACAGTCATCTGGACAGGAATGGTATTTCCTGCAGTTATGGGAAAATAAAGGTTTTCCCAAAACCTGGAGCAAAGGCCTGACCCCAGTGAGGAGGGGGGTATCAGCGCTGAACACTGCCAAAGGGTTCACCGGGTACCACAGCAGTCCGTGCTGATGAACACACTTCTGGGAGCCCGTGAGCCACCTGGCAAGCAGCTAGCGCAGGGCAGTTTGATTTCCAGGCAACAACCCCACCATGGCTCATGGGGTGCAACTTGCTTATTGAGAAAGGGTCTTGAAACTGGACAAGGTGAATGAGTCAATCTAGTAATCTAGTAGTATGGTCAGACTTCCCTCGGTTGGCCTCTGCCCCCTTCCCGTTCCCCCTCTACGCCCCCAGCTCTGCCAGGCAGTGCAGTCTGTCAATATGTCAGTGACCCACATAGCCAGGAAAGCTGTGAGGCCCAGTTCATGATTGCCCAACTTGAAAGGCCCTCCGGCCCAGGGGACAGTTTCGGGCTCACACTTCTGCACATTGCACAACATATGCCTCGTGCCCTGAACTCAGTGCAGCCAGGAAGTGAGCCTTCCGGGGGGCTTGTGTTCCCACCCTCACCACGTGAGAGCTGGGACCTTAGGATTCAGCAAAATCATCCACTATGGAAGAGTCTTCCCAAGTTGCTCCCTGCTGCCCCATGGCACAAAGAACTGCCCTGAACACAAACGCCCTCCGGGAGGGGCACCACTAGATTAAGCATGCTGAAGCAGCCCGGAAATGCGGAGAGCACAAAGAGGACAGACGCAACACAGATGCAGAGCAGAGGCGGCTTTGCAGCTCCTGACATGGTTCCCTAACAAAGGGGCAGAACTGTGCATGTGAAGAGCTCACATTAGGACCCCAGCACCTACACCCTACAACTGCCTCCCTCCTGTGTCGATCCCACCCAAGCTGGTAGTGTGCACACACCTCCATGCACACTTGCTATCCGCATGTATTCAGACACCTTGTGTGCCACCCGCTTCCCTCACACTGCACACCCACAATCACACCACACCCTTCTTTCTTCCTGCCTTCCTCCCTGATCACATGAAGATGATCATGAATCCGCCCTTCTGAGAATCCATCTGCAGCCCAGCTCCACCAGATTACACTCGGGGGCCTCCAGAGAGATTAAAAGGATGTACACAGTAGGACTGAGGTCTATGTCTCCTAGATAGGAGCTCACTATCCACATTACCATCAAAAACAGAACCACAATGCCAAGGAAGTAGAGCAAAGGCCAGAAAGCCAGAACCAGAGGGTGTGACAGTGAATACACCTTTCTATACATGATAACCACCACAATAAAAAGGTATCTCGGTAACTAACCAATACCACCTCCACAGCTAGCACCAGTCTGTCCCGTGCCTCTATCTTGAGCAAAATGTGAGGGACAGTGTATAAGCAGCCCTGCTCCCATAAGCGTGGTCTGTGCAATTGTTTGACTTCAGAGGTCAAGCTCGCTGCCACTGGCAAGATAAACCACACCTAACCTGGCTGCCTCCTGCTCCAAATTGGAAAGTTCACTTTCAGATTTGAACCTCACCCACTTCTGAGCTAGTAACCTTCAGAGACAGAGGCTTCTGTTACTTCCTATAGAGATGAAGCAAAACCAATTCCATGCTTTCAGTCAAAGGCAGAGGTAGGTTACTATTCAGAAAAAGCTTTGCCTTTACTGCCTTTTCTGCAGATATGGAGCTCTAAGAGCTCCAAGGACAATCAAGGTCAGCGGTTAAATACTTGGGAATTAGAGGAATAATTCCAGAGTGGGAACTCATGGTCTCTCCCTCCCATCCCTCACGTCACATTCCTCCTCCCTTGTCCTGAGTAACAGTGCATTAGTGACTGTCAGCTCTCTGTACACACACCCAAACCCCTCTGTCTACACCACTACCACCTGATCCCAGAAAACCTTCCTGTCTCCCTTCATCCGTACAATGGCCTCCTCCTTGGTTTCCCCATTGCTGCGCTGGCCTCTCCAAACCATCCTCCACAAGGCTGCCAGAGTGATGATCTCTTTAAGATGCCAGTCAGATCATCTCATTGCCTTGCATAAGAACCTCCCTTGCTTGCTTCCATCTGCTCTAAAGATGATAATCAAAACCCTCAGCACAGCCTACACAGCCTGCATGGTCCAGCTTCATTTCACGCTGGTGGCTTCTCCAATTATTTAGAAGTTTCTCCAATACGCCTTTTCGCCTCACATCCAAGGGCTCCTACACATGCTCTTCCCTGTACACAGAACACTCCTGTTTGGCCTGCTCTCCCCTAATGCTTATTAACTTCCACCTCCCCTTTGCGGCCTCCCAGGGAAGGTGAGATGCTCACACCAAGGACTCCCAGAACATCCTACCAGTCTCTTGTAGAGCATCAACACGTGACCAAGTACATGCTGTATTAAGCATTAGCTGACCATACCTACCACAGGTCCAGGTGAAAAGGAGACTAAAAGAGCTACTGACTGACTGGTATCCTCCAAGAATGCTCAGGAGAAAAATCTCTACTCTAAGGAGGGTCAAAAGGGGAGACCTGAGATCTGGGTCCTGCCTGGTCTTGGGCCACTGGCAGCATTAGTCTGCCTCTTCCAGAGTCAGCTGTGCACCGTGTAGCCTTGTTGTGATTCTACAAATGCGTCTGACTTATACAGGTCCTTGAACTGAATGTAAGGTAGGAGCTCGTATAGTAGCACATGTGATTCCTGGCTTACCAAGAGATGATTAAACCTTTCTGTTGGTGGATTGTTAATCATCTGGAATTCTGTAAAACATCTACATCATTTCTGTGTCTGCCTTCCAAGAAGAGCATCTAACACAGAACTAAAGCAGGGTAATAAAGTAAAGGAGTTTTTAAAATGCCAGGGCATAGTAGATTTTCGTTAATATCAAGAATGAAAAAATGCATAAGGAAGATGCAAACTGGTTAATCAAGATAGGAGATTATCTGTTCTGTTTGTGGCTTCATTTCCAGATAAGCAGGAATTAACAGCATATAGGATTAAATGACAGACTTCAAAAATTTTTGTAAGTTTCTGGACAATCTCAGCATCAGTACTGTGTGAGTCTTGGCACTTGTATTTTCATTTTTCCTCTATCTACCCTATTTTCCAGAGATTAACCTCTGAAGACAGTGATAAACTGAACTATACTGCCTCCTGGTATATGAATCGAAC